AAAAAAAAAAAAAAAAAAAAAAAAAAAAATGTACCAGAGGAAAATAGTCACAGTAATCTCCCAGTTGTGCCTTCTATTCAGATGTACGAGATTAGATGGATAAATCTCATAAATATAGTGTTGCAAAAGAAACCAGACACAGAACTGGGTGTGGTGGTGCACACTTGTAATCCCAGCATTCAAGAGGCTGAGGCAGGAGGATCACCATGAGACTGAGGACAGCCAAGACTACACAGTGAATTCAAAACCAGCCTGGACTGCCCAGTGAGACATTGTCTCAAAAAATCCCTAAAACAAAACAATGAAAACAACAACAATAAAAAACCAGACATAGAAAAGATGCTTATTTATTTATTGACAAGGTTTCACTATGTTTCCCAGGCTGACTTCAAATGACTGGGATCAAGCAATACCCCTGCCTCAGCTTCCTGAGTAGCTGGAACTACATAATGCACACCAAGTCCAGTTCATGATTTTTAAAATTAATTTTGAAAACTAGGCAAAATTGCTTCTAGTTTGAGGAAAGATGAAGCAAGCACAATTTTTCCTGTCAGTCTCACTGAACTCAGAAAATGTGGAGAGATCTGGGTGTGGTGGTATACACTTCTAATCCCAGTATGCTGGGAAGCTGAGGCAGCAGGATCACAAATTCCAGCCCAGCCCGGGCAACTTGATGACTTAGTGAGACCTTGTCTCAAAATAAAATAAAAAGGGCTGGGGATTGTAGTTCAGTGTGAAGACAATGGGTTTAATCCCCAGTACCATAAAAAAAGAAAAAAAAAGAAAAGAAAAAAATCAGACAGAATACACAGAGCTAAGTGGGGCATGGTGGCGCACACCTGTAATCCCAGCACCTTGGGAGGCTGAGGGAGGAGGACTGTCATGAGTTTGAGGCTAGCCTGGGCTACACAGTGAGTACAAAGGGAGACTGAAATTCATAGTGAGACCCTACCACAAACAAACAAACAAAATAATAGGAATACAGGGAGGGCCAGGGATATAGCTCAGCGGCACAGCGCCTGGCAAGCACCAGATCTCCCGTTCAGGTCTCAGTACTTCCCCCTCCACCCCCCACCCCCCCAAAAAAGGATACATAAAGCAGCTATTTGAGGAATATACAAAGTATATGGGGCTGGGGATTTAGTACAGTGGTGCATCCCCTGCCTGGCAAGCATGAGGTCATGAGTTGGATTTCTGGTACCCTCTCAAAAAAGTGCATAGTACCAGGTAAATTGAAGGAAAAGATCATATTTTAAAGTAACAACTAGGAAACAAGAAAAAAATTTGAAAAGAAAAAATCTGTTTTAAAAGTAACGAAATATCACCAGAGCTGCAGATGTAGCTCAGAGATAGAGCACTTGCCCAGGGTGCTTGAGGCCTTGGATTGGATCCCCTGCACCACAACACCCACATACACACACACCAAAGCAGCAGTAAATACACCAAATTTGCCACTTCCGGTATCACTTGGCCTGGACCTAGAGTAGCAAAAAACCCAGCCCTGAACCAGTATGATGGTGCACACCTGTGATTCCAGTTCTGCGGGAGGATGAGCCAGGAGAATTGCAAGTTCTGGCCCAACCTAGGCAACTTAGTGACTCAGAAATAGTCTGTCTCAAAATTAAAAGGGGTGGAGATGTAGTTCAGTGGAAAGGCCCTGGGTTCCTTTACAGTACCACAAAAATCAATCAGTCAGTCTATCTATCTGTCCATCCCAGCCCTCATAGAGCAAAGGGCAACTAAGCTCAGAATCAGTTCCAGAATAGGAACCACGGGCCAGAGTCAAACTGGCTATTTGAGGCTATTAGACTGTTCGAGGTCCCAATCTGTGTCATAAAGTTCTGGGACCAGAGGGGCAACTGTTCCTTGGGGATCATGCTATCGCGTGTAGGCACTTGGTGTTTGGCAAAACTGGCACAAGGGAGACTCCCTACATTAGGGCATTATCCCCAGTAGGAGGGGTGCCTCACATCGAGGAAGCCATGACGCTTTACAGACAAGGTACAGCCAGGGTCTGTGACCCCTACCTTGGTCCT